TTCTAGATTGCGCTAGCGATTACATCCCGCGCACTTCTGGATTTCCTCGTCGCACTCCTGTGCCGTGGTGGACGGAGAAGTGTCGTGACGCAATTCGCGCACGCAAACGTGCTTTCCGAGCTTTTGACGCCAGAAGTAGCTTGGAGAATTTAGTAGCCTTTAAGAAAGCCAGGGCTTTCGCCCGCCGCACGATAAAAGAAGCGAAACGTGAATCCTGGCGTATGTACGTAAGCACGCTCAACCGATTCACACCAACTTCGCAGGTGTGGGCTCGGATCAAACGTATCTCCGGGCAGTTTTCATCCGTGCCACTTCCTGTGTTACATGTTAACGGCCAGGTGGTGACTCATCCGTTGGATGTGGCTAACGGGATCGCCCGAGCACTCTCCCACCGTAGCGAAGGTGCAAACATGAGCCCACAGTTTTTACGGCAAAGAGCACAATCCGAAAAAACCGTAGTGAACTTTTCTACAAGGCAAGCACAGGCGTACAATGAGCCCTTCACTTTGGTGGAGTTGGAGTCGGCAATCGGAAGACTTCGTAGTGTATCGGAAGGTCCTGATGACATCCACAATGAGATGCTCCGACATCTGCCTCCGTGTGCACGTCGTGCACTATTGGCGGCCTTCAATAGGGTGTGGTCAAGAGGTGAGTTCCCTCCGGCCTGGCGGGAAGCTGTTGTGGTGCCTATCCTAAAACAGGGGAAGAGTGGGCTGGACCCTCTTCATTACCGACCCATTTCACTGACGTCATCACTGTCCAAGCTCATGGAAAAGATGGTAAACGTGCGACTCACTTGGTTTTTAGAGAACAACGATATTTTTAGTAACTCGCAGTGCGGATTTAGGAAAAACCGTAGTACGGTGGACCATCTCTTAACACTGGACACCACGGTTCGCAAGTCTTTTCAAGAAAAAGCGCATATGGGGACAGTATTCTTCGACATTGAAGCCGCCTATGACACCACATGGCGCCATGGTATTGTTCAAAAGCTCTTTAAATATGGTATACGTGGCCATATGGGTGCTTTTCTCCAAAGGTTTTTATCCAAACGATACTTCCGTGTTCGGGTCGGCAACGTCCTCTCCGACAGGTACGAACAAATAAACGGCGTGCCCCAGGGCGGCGTGTTAAGTGTTGCACTGTTCGCAGTTATGATAAATGATATTTGTGATGTGCTCCCACAGTCGGTCGGACGTGCCCTTTTTGTTGACGATTTTACTATTTGGACCAGTGCAGCGAGAGCACCAGCGATGGAGCGGCGTCTCCAGCTGGCTGTGGACCGCGTTGAAAGATGGGGTGACATGAACGGGTTTCGTTTTTCAGGCGACAAGACCGTTGCGATGCATTTTTGTCGTCGCCAGCGATGTGATGATCTGAGCATCCGTCTATATGGTCGCTCTATTCCAAATAAGGCCGTGGCCAGGTATCTTGGGATACACTTTGACCGCCGCCTTACATATAACGCACATCTTAAAATGTTACGCGATCGATGCTTTAAATCTCTCAACATACTAAAGTGTGTGTCTCGTTCATCGTATGGGGCAGACAGAAGCACGCTTATGCTTTTATATCGTTCCCTCGTCCGCTCCAAACTGGATTATGCATGCTTTGTTTATGATGGCGCGTCTGAATCCAGCAAGCGTGTTCTTGATACCGTCCACCATACTGCCATTCGCATTGCTACTGGGGCGTTTCGCACATCACCTTCCGTCAGCCTTTTAACGGAGGCACACGAACCACCACTTTCGACGAGGAGGAAAATGCTTGGCATGCGTTATGCCTTGAAGCTGCGGCAGTTCCCACTTCACCCGACATATTCTGCAATATTTTCGCGGTTTGCAGTAAGTTCTCTTCGTCATGGGCCGCAGCAGCACGCTTTAACTTTTGGTTCCCGAATGAGAGCGTTATTGCTTGAGAGCGGAATTCCTCTTCGGGGTGTAAGGCAAGTAAGCCGCCTGGCTTCTCCTCCCTGGCAAATGACCACACCCTTCATTGACACCTCGCTTACGGAAATTAGGAAAAAAGACGTCACACCACACCTATTGAGATCCAGGGCAGTTGAGCTTTTGGCGTGTTATGAAGGATATACCCTGACATACACAGACGGATCCAAAACCTCGGATGGCGTAGGTTGTGCTTTCGTTAGCGGGTCCGTCACTCGATCGTTCTCGTTACCGGCCCACTCGTCAGTTTTTACGGCGGAATTAGTTGCAATCACCAAGGCGATATGTTTCATCGAAGTGGGTGAAGAATCTTCACACGCCATTTTTACAGATTCACTGAGCAGTCTCTCTGCACTGAAGTCTTTTTATCCATCATGTCCCCTTTTACAGGACATTTTATCACGCCTGACACAATTGAATCGGGTTGGAAAGAGAGTTGCACTATGCTGGATCCCTAGTCACGTCGGTATCGTGGGCAACGAACTGGCTGATGCCGCTGCTAAGCGAGCAGCGGTAGCACCATATACCCGGTTTTTGCCTATCCCTGCCAGAGATTTTTACCCGGCAGTCAAGACCTTCCTGAGAAGCAGATTGCAGCGCTGTTGGGACCAGGTGGGGGGCAATAAGCTCAGGGCAATAAAGACAGAGTTGGGCTTGTGGTCGTCATGCTCTCGCAGTGTGCGGTGGGAAGAGGTGGTTTTATGCAGGCTGCGCATTGGGCATACCTATGCCACCCATGGCCATCTGTTACATGGAGCCGACAGACCCCTATGCCAGCGGTGTGGAGCCGTCCTGACTGTCCATCATGTCATTATATCATGTCCATGCCTCTTCGAAGAACGACGACGTCACTTTGGTTCACAGGCTTCGACCCTGACGATAAACGATGTGCTTGGTGACAGTTCCTCCTTTCTTGGTCCCAAACAGCTCTTTTCGTTTTTAAAAGATATTGATTTTCAAGTCATTTTCACACCCTACTAATTAACAGCATAGTTATGGGCGCAAAATGACCACTGCAGTCGACGCGCCCGAAAACTCCAATGAACAACAAGAACGCGGTGAGCCAAATCAGTAGGCATCTGCCAGCCGCTGCCCGAAGAAGTCTGCCGCAGTTGAGTGCACGAGATCCGTCACAGTGGGTCGCCTTTTGAGCGGTCCATATTGAAGCTAGGTCGGCACGAAGGGACTTCAACCCTCAAACGCGGCCGCCCGAGAGAGCACCGGGCTTATAGTGACTTGCCTCCAGCGCCCCCACGCGCGCATTTGGACTTGACCGTCCGTCGGAAGCGGCGACGAGCTCTCGGTGGAGATAGGTCGTCTCGTGCTCGTCCCCGCTGCTGCCCCCTGTTCCGCTGTGATGGCGGCCAGCTCCCGGTGGGCGTCCGTCATCTCGTCCCCGTCCACACTGCAAACGCATCCCTGCCTGCAACGTTGCAGCATTGCAATGCTGCAGACGCTCCGTGCGAAACATCGGTCCGCGAGTATCTTGCAGGTTGCTGATGTGGAGGTGAGCTCCAACACGGAACACACGGTGCGGGTGGGATGTTTTTGTCGCGACAGCGTGCGCCACTGTTCCGCTCGCCGCGCTCTGGTCACAGCGATCCAGGACCCCGGCGGACGTCATTGTGATCCGGTGTTCCGACCGGCGCTGTCCGGTGCACGGTTCCTGTAAACACCTATGTTCACATTTCTGCGTGTTGCTTGCCGTTTGCTGTCGCGTTTGCTTGCTGTTGTCGCGACTTTGACCGAACCAACGAATCTTTTTTCAATTTTGTGATAGTACACATCTGTTGGATTTCTAAACACCAAAGCGTCTTTTTCGTATGTTATTGCTGGTCTTCGCATGTTCCTCAAATGCCGGTGGTTTCCTTCACGGCTGCGTAATCGGTGCTCGACACAACGAAAAAGGGCAAGCGACAGGGGTGGTTGTCCTCACCCACAGAAAGACACTTGTGCAGCGATCAATAATGCACTAATTGAGATGCTTTGAAACACCCATGATGAAACATGTCCGGAACCTTGGTCTTACCTCCGGGGGTAGCGGCTGTTGCTTCCTCGCGTCACTGCCCGAGGCGGTTTCCTGACTGTCAGATGCCATGTTGCCGACTCAATGTACCTTCCTTGCTTTCTCTTGCTAAGGCATCAGCGTTCTTCCCGCAGTCTGGGGGACCGCGCCATTGGCCTCCCGCCGACCGCGCGAGGGGCGTTCACCGGGCGCGAGACACCCATTGCTCGATGCAGCGAGCGGACCGAAACGCGTCCGATCCCAGCAAGCGTTGGATTGAGACTAAGATGCGCCAAATGTCATGCCCAGCACTGAGACCCTGACGTCAACACACACAATATGATAGAGCACACGAAGAGCTTCATGGCTCATGCCCGAGGCAGGGCGCGGGACAAAACACGTCAGAACCGACAAGCGTTGGAGAAAGACGGATGTTTCGATTGGCATCCTCCGGCACAGAGCCCTTGATTTCAGCAAGCAGATGATGACGCACAAAAAGAGCTTCGTGATCCACCGAGCGGTTGACGTGCTGAAATGCGGTCGGCTGCCGGGACAGTGGTGCGCTGTACCGACCGGAACGGCCTCCCTTACATGCTGGTCATTGCGACTCCTGTTATCTGGGTGACGACACGGATGCACTGCCATCTGTGTGGTGACGCGGATGCACAGCCATCTGTGTGGTGACGCGGATGCACTGCCATCTCTGTGGTAACGCGGATGTGCTGCCATCTTTGTGGTGACGCGGATGCACTGCTATCTCCGTGCTGTGTAATCGCGCAGTGCGATCATTTTCAGTTATATCGACATCATGTTGGACAAAACACACTGAGGAAAGCTCCCTCCCCAGCAACTCTCTGGGTGTCAGGTATGCAAGTGTGGTGCTGCATTTCCGCGGGCAGCTGTTCAAACCTGGTGTTGTTACGTCGCATGCGTGACGTCACTCTTCGGATCCCCAGCAACTCTCTGGGCGTGAGGTATGCAAGAATGTGGTGCTGCATTTCAGCCGACAGCTGTTGAAACCTGGCGTTGTTACGTCGCATGCATGACGTCACTCTTCGGATCCCCAGCAACTCTCTGGGCGTGAGGTATGCAAGAATGTGGTGCTGCATTTCAGCCGACAGCTGTTGAAACCTGGCGTTGTTACATCGCATATGTGACGTCACTCTTCGGATCCCCAGCAACTCTGGGCGTAAGGTATGCAAGAATATGGTGCTGAATTTCAGCCGACAACTGTTCAAACCTGGCGTTGTTACGTCGCATACGTGACGTCACCCTTCGGATCCCCAGTAGCTCTCTGGGCGTCAGGTACGCAAGGATGAGTGCTGCATTTCCGCGGGCAGCTGTTCAAACCTGGCGTTGTTACGTCGCATGCGTGACGTCACTCTTCGGATCCCTAGAAACTCTCTGGGCGTGAGGTATGCAAGAATATGGTGCTGCATTTCAGCCGACAGCTGTTGAAACCTGGCGTTGTTACGTCGCATGCCTGACGTCACTCTTCGGATCCCCAGGAACCCTCTGGTCATGAGGTATGCAAGAATGAGGTGCTGAGTTTTTGCCGACAGCTGATCAAACCTGGCGTTGTTACGTCGCATGCGTGACGTCACTCTTCGGATCTCCAGCAACTCTCTGGGCGTGAGGTATGCAAGAATATGGTGCTGCATTTCAGTCAACAGCTGTTCAAATCTGGCGTTGTTACGTCGCATGCGTGTCGTCACGCTTCGGACCCCAGGAACTCTCTGGGTGTCAGGTACGCAAGAATGTGGTGCTGTATTTCCGAGGGCAGCTGTTCAAGCCTGGCGTTGTTACGTCGCATGCGTGACGTCACTCTTCGGACCCCAGCAACTATCTGGGTGTAAGGTATGCAAGAATGTGGTGCTTAATTTTCGACGACAGCTGTTCAAACTTGGCATTGTTACGTTGCATGCGCTTCGGAGCCCCAGCAACTCTGGGTGTCAGGTATGCAAGAATGTGGTGCTGTAGTGCCACGGGCAGCTGTTCAAACCTGGCGTTGTTACGTCGCATGTGTGACGTCACTCTTCGGATCCCCAGTAACTCTCTGGGCGTGAGGTACGCAAGAATGTGGTGCTGCGTTTCAGCCGGCAGCTGTTCAAACCTGGTGTTGTTACGTCGCATGCGTGACGTCACTCTTCGGATCCCCAGCAACTCTCTGGGCGTGAGGTACGCAAGGATGTGGTGCTGCGTTTCAGCCGGCAGCTGTTCAAACCTGGCGTTGTTACGTCGCATGCGTGACGTCACTCTTCGGATCCCCAGCAACTCTCTGGGCGTGAGGTATGCAAGAATGTGGTGCTGCATTTCAGCCGGCAGCTGTTCAAACCTGGCGTTGTTACGTCGCATGCGTGACGTTACTCTTCGGACCCCCAGCAACTCCCTGGGTGTCAGGTATGCAAGAATGTGATGCTGTTGTGCCACGGGCAGCTGTTTGGGGTCCACTGACGTGGCGACCGCGCTGCTGTCTCTTGCCTTCTTTTGCCACGGCTGTTCTGTAGAGCCAGTCTGCATCGACTCCTGCTGCTGCGCCGCCACCGCACGGGTGGATCTGTGTTCACCAGCGTTGTCATGTCCCGCGGGCATTTGGCCCACCCTGTCTCATACGGATCTGGAGTTGTCCTTCATCTGATCATCATCACCATGCCGCGAAGATCTTGCTCGTTTTGAGTAGTCGGGTTTTGTAGAGGATGAGCTGATTATCGCGCGTCATCCTAAAACCCCAGTCATCATCATCATCATCATCGGGATGCACATGTTGGCCATCTCAACAGCCACGGTGGGACCTCGTAAACGGCGAGCATTGCTTACTTCCTTTTTGGCTGTGTACAAATCCTAAATTACAGCCCTTTTGGCTGTGTACAAATCCTGCCGCTTGGTGAAGTACTTGAACCAGACGATGGTCGTTCTGCCTTTCCCCCGACCCGATGGGATATGTCTATGGCTCTTGAGGGGTTATTGACACCGTCTGTCTTCTTCTGGGAGTCGGTTTGTAAAGAGTTTGGCTTTCCGGATTTGGAAGAGGCGTCGCGGATTCTGAGCGTCCGAACGTGATGTTAACGTGAATGACGCGAGCCCTTCTACCTAGCGCAGCTACTGAACTCGCACATGGCTCTGATGGAGGAAATCAGCGTCCGCGAAGCTAACAAGGATGACTTTAAAAAGCTGCTTGGAGACGAGGAGATGCATGTTGCCGTAAAATACGGGTCCGCCGCCGGGATGTTGGGTCGCGTGGCCATCTTCGCGACTACCAGCAGTCAGTTGGGCGGTTTTCTCGGCGACGCAGACCGTGATGCCATCCAGAGCAGAACCAAGAGTTTCAGGTTCACGGCGGAGATCGCGACTCGGGGCGACCGGCGGGACCGAGGATGCTCCATGTACCAGCCGCCGTGCCGGATCACCCCCGCCATCTGGCGGGAGATATGTCACATGTTCCCTTAAACCCAAAGCACCACCAAGATCACAGGTGAGTTCATGTTTAGCTCTTGTTGTGCGTGGATGTGGGTAGAGCGCTTTTTAGGATTCGCAAGCGTGTGTGTGATGGAGATCGGTACCTCGTATGATGTTTGTCGGATATGTATGTTTTAAGTGTCGATGAGAGTTGGTCTTTTAATTTTGTCGAGTTGATGTATGCGAAGGGTGTCTTCAGTTTCTAAAAACCATCTCGCTTGTGTGGCTGTCTCCTCAGCTTGTTCTTATGCTGGGATCTATTCACAGGGAATTATCACAGACGCGGAGACACCTGGCTCGTCCGGTATGAGCGCGGCGGAGCAGGCGGGCCCATCGGCGAAGAAGGCGAAGGTAGCAGCGCCGAGTGACCATGCTAATAACGGCAAGCAAAGTGGTGCTATTGGAGCGCAGTTGGGCCTGCTGATGCTGTTTATCATTATGATACTTATAGGGATTGGGAGATGAGTGCTGTATATTTTAAAGTTCCTCAACTGCGTAATGTTAAGACGAATATTACGTGTAAGTTGTCTACGAAGATTGCCGTGCTTTTGCCACCTCAGGATCGTACGGGACCTGTGCAGGTTAAGCCTAGCAACTCATTGTATCGTCTTGGACGAGTGTATTCAGAGGGTACTGACACTGTTGTGTATCATATGTAGGCTGCGGAAGAATAAATGTGAAGATGATGAATTTGAGGCTTAGTTGTTGAGAGGCGAGAAAGGTGATGGACGGAGGCATCACGGAGAAAGAAAGATGGCTGTTCATCAATGAGTGAATGGGCGAAGGAAAAGTTGATGAGGTTAGGGCTTTCAGTTTTAGAGAGGCGATGTACCTGAGGCAGGCGTTTATCACTGCAAAATGAAGTTCAGTTGTTCATCAGTCATCACATGGGATAAATCTGATTGGTGTATAACTTGATTCCGGTTCTTGGACTTGGGTTGAAAAGCCACCTCCGGTCTGGATAAAAAAAAGCCACTGGATACTCCCCCAAAGGTGCCATCCTGAAGACGAAATCACAAACTTTAGCATCTCTTCCAGTGCTGAAACACACACTCACATGCCTCGCCTCTCAAAAAGTAAAAGCCCAGAGCTCATCACCAGTAACTTACCGACAGCGGGAGAGGATCAAAGAGGCGTGTGCACGCCCCGACAGCTCACTCACAACTGGATAATCCAGTCATGTTCATCCGTCTTCAGCTTCGCACATCCTTGTGTGACGTAATACTATCTCCTCTTTTTTGGGGTGGAGGAGATCGGCGTGTACGTGCTGGGTGCCGTATGGCACCCTCGGCGTACACCGAGGGCCCCCTATTTACCTCTCGCTTGAACTTGCGATAGATCTCCCACCAGATGGCGGGGGTGAGACTGAACGATAAGAGTCTTCCCAGACTTCCACAAATACTGTACGAGAGGCTTTTCGTCTGAAACGACGACACGTTGTTGAGATGGAGCTGCCATGTCTATCTTGGCAGGCCACTCGGGGGCTTCAGGAGGAAGCACTGGGTAGTCGGCTTCTTCTCCTGAAGCTGCTCCTCCGGTGGCGTCTGCAAGACCTGCTGTAAGGACGTCGGTATACTGGGTAGCGGTCGGCATGTTAAAAACACCACGTAGGTCCTCTGGTGTATAACTTCATTCCGGTTCTTGGACTTCGGTTGAAACGTCACCTCCGGTGCAGCCACTGGAACCTCCGCCAAATGCGCCATCCTGAAGACGAAACCGCAAAGATTAAAATATTTTTCAGTGCTGAAACACCTACTCACACGCCTCACCTCACAAAAAGTAAAAGCCCAGAGCTCATCAGCAGCTTACCGACATAGCAGTAGAAGATCAGCAAGACGTGCATATCACGACGGCTCACTCGCAACTGGACAGACAATGCAATCCCGTTCATCTGTCTCCAGCTTGGCGAATCCTTTTATGACGCAATGCTATCTCCCTTTTGAGGGGGGGGGGGGGCTCGGCGTATGCCGAGAGTGCCGTATGGCACCCAGCACGTACGTGCTGCCCCCCCCCCCCCCCTCCAAAGCGAGATGCCATAGTGTCATATAAGGATTCGCCCAGCTGAATATCCCATTCAACCTTGAATGTACGTATTTGCCATGGGAAGAAGCAGGCTTCTGGCCTCGAAGCCGAATGCGAAACCAAAACCATGACATGAAGTCAAAGTTGAAGCCAAAGCTGTTGGCTTAAAAATTTGCATCTGCGAAGCCAAAATCGAAACTGGTGTCTTCGTATTTCTAAGCATGAGGCTGAATTTTGATGCGGCGGGTTAAAGCCCGTTGTACGCGAAGCCGAGGACGAAGACAGCGGCTTCGAACTTCGAACTCGAAAAAGGAAACGCAAAGCCAAAGCCGAACCCTTCGATTTAAAATGACGAGCCCAAAGTTGTAGTCAAAGTTAGTATACAACGCTGTTTGTGAACCCGACACCACTTATTCTGTCCAGTAAAACTGCATAGGATCAAAAAAATATCAACATGGTGTTGTGTAATGATGTTTTTTTGCTCTTGCCCTCGTTAGGTGTGAGTTGGTCCAAAGAATGTGCGGCTGGGTTCTGGTTCCACACAATAAATATTTGTCGCAGCATTGACAGGTTGTGTGGCATATTGGCGTGATTGAACGGACTAGACTAGTTGCGAGAAGTAAAGAAGCAGCTGCAGTGAAAAAGCCACGACGAACCGAAGCCAGCGGTTCAAGATTCCACAAGGCTGGGACTGGGTCGTGATCGAAACTTATGTCCAATGTCGAAGTGAAAGCCGAAGCTACCTGTTAAAAATGTCACAAAGCCGAAGCGGAGGCCAAGCGTTTCAAATGGCTGGGAGCCGAAGTCGAAGTTGAAGTCATCAGCGAAAAGCAGGGAAGCCGGCTTCGTCCTCGTGCCTAGTGCGCATAACTTATTCATGCCAATTGAGTGCTTATGAAACATCACTCTTTTGTGTGGGGGATTCTATTGTGGATTTTCGTGGTATCCTGCAGCAAATTTTTGTGATCTGGATTCACTTGAAAATATGAGTGCATAAGTAAAACACACACAACGTGGTGCCTCATCAAAAATGCAGTTACAAATCCTTGTGCAAAGACTTGAGCATGAACTCCAAGGCTAAAAATAGGTCCCAGCGCTCGTTTTTGTGGTGACCCAATGACGTAGCCTGGATGACCCAGGTATGATTTAACCTATCACGGACTCGTAAAAAAGCGGTGAGTCTGTCAGAAGCCTCAGCTGCCATGAAGTAAGCACGGGTGCGAATCCAGCAGGCAGTCTCGGGGGAGACAAACCCAACTTTTGCTGCCTATAATGTAAGACTAAATATGTGCGTTTCCACCGTCTCACGCCACGTTTGCCGTCTGTGGCTCTGCTAAGTACGGCCAGTGCACCTCGTGTACCTTGGGTACCCGGTGTACCTTGTGTACGTTGGGTGCGCGCGATCGTCAACCAAGCTCGGGCAGTCGGGCCATCGGCCACCTTGCTCGCGTGCAATGAAGCGGAAGGGAGGGTCCTGTGCCGGCTGCAAATCGGCGACATTTGTGTGGCAAGTGGTGAGATGGTGATGATGTAAGGTGGTGTGTGTGGCAAGTGGTGAGATGGTGATGATATAAGGTGATGTGTGTGGCAAGTGGTGAGATGGTGATGATGTAAGGTGATGTGTGTGGCAAGTGGTGAGATGGTGATGATGTAAGGTGATGTGTGTGGCAAGTGGTAAGATGGTGATGATGTAAGGTGCTGTGTGTGGCAAGTGGTGAGATGGTGATGATGTGCATTGTGCTTATGAGCACTGAGTCTTACA